TATAGAGACAAGATGGGCACTGTTTCTTTCTTGAAAGGAGGTCCCGTATAGGACTCAAAAGGTAACAAGAACAGCAAATGGGGGATCATTGGGGGTGGGCAGTGCCGAGAGTACCATTTATCAGGCCATGCTCTGTCCAGATGGTGAAGTGCCAGCTGCTTTATTTGTCCTCTGTGGGCCCAAGGCACACTGTACCAGATTGGGTATCATTTCAAGTGTTGATATGCGTATAGAGCTTTTGTATTTACTCAATCAAGGGAGCTATTACATGGCACAAAGCACGTGACTGGCCGAGAAGCAAATTTTGGGACGTTGCAGTATTTTGTTCGATTGCAATAAGCTCACATCTGACAGGTGACAGCAATCTCCGCGGGAACCATGTGGACCAACACCACAGACTCGATAAAGCATGAGTTTGAGTTTAATTTGAATTAACTCACAACATAATCGGATGTCTTATCACGAGAAATATTGTCCATAATTTTATGCCAAACGTAGGGGCAGATTGCAACGACTGTTCTCATTTCAACAACTATAAAAAGTAAAGGATCATAGCCTCGTAAAGTGCAATCACGACGCAAAGAAATAAACAAAGGAACAGCTTCATCCATGATAAACCCCATCATCTCCCACCAAACTCTCAATCTCTTCAAAACCAATTGTCCCAACCGTCAATGCAACACCATCCGGATTCGCACACTCCCCAGCAACCCTCACGCTTCGCAATCCCTCAACACCCTCCCCCTCAACCTCCACAAGCAGCAACGTCTGATCTTCAGCGGTTCGCTCATCCGCAACGTAGAAGTACGTCTCACTAACCAGGGTACCGGAGGCATTCGCACGGAGACATCCGGCAATTTTCTGCATGGTCATTCCGACGAAAGGCGAGACAAAGGACTCGGTGACTGGGACCTGAGTGGCGGAGTCGAGGGTGTAGGCCTCCCAGTCAGATTTTGTGGTCGTGGAGAGGAGGATAAGAGCTGGCTCGCAGTCGGGGTCATTGTCGTAGGTGTTGGTTAGGATTGTGGAGAGGATCTAGTGCTGTCAGCTTGTGCTATCTCAATGAGGTGTATGGCATGTGAACCTTACAGCAGGCGGGATATTCGCCGTACAAACGACGCTGATGAGTGGTTCACCCATTTTGCAGTTTTTTCGCGTGTAGGACAGCGGTTTTCTTGACTGTCAGATAGCGGGGAGTTGGAGGAGGGAGAGTTGTAGAATTCAGTGGGCAGGTTTTGTAGAAGGAGAAATTCGGCTGCCTATGGTGGTGAATGTGTGTACTCGTTGAGACGAAAAAGTGTCGTGTCCCTGTATTCACTGGTCACCTGATTGAGTTTACAGGTTATGGTAGCGACTTGTATCACATGATCTCATCTTTTCGACACTGCTGGTATAGCTGAAGCGCATCCATGGTTATATTCATTGTTATACATGGCAGTACCGTGGCTGATATCAGCACCAACGGTTACACTCTGGTTTCACCGAATGTCCCACGACTTGCGATATTTGTTTTATACATAAGCCTCAAAACATGTTAATGTTACTCGATATACGGTCTTACCGGGGTACAGATCTCGGATGTAAGAAGTCATTAGGGCTTTGTATATTCTCCTATTTGTCGAAGCAGTCGGGGCGACTATCCTATCCTTGTCTTGCCCTAAGTCCTGCCGAACAGATTCGATTCTTGGGCTCGTACCAGAAGTAAGCTTACACGGAACGCCGTAGTAGAAGATGGTCAAGTAGGTATTGAATAAAAGAGGCCATGTCTATATAAGACGCGATTGAATGCCCTCGTAGCAATGGTATTCACAGAACATCCAGCTAGAACAATCCACTCCAATTAGCATCTCTAAAATGAAGCTCTTCTCTATCTTCTCCCTCTTCTTCCTTGTCTCCAGCGTCACGGCAGCCAACTTCGCCTGGGACTGCACAAAAAGCCTCGGAACATGCCAAAACTACTGCTACGCCGCGAAATGCGGCCGCATGGGCCGCAGGAGGTTCACCTACGATAGCAACTCAAAGGCCAGACCGGGACGTCGAACAGCTTCTGGATGCAGCAGGAACCCTTGCAACAATAAGAAATTAAACTTCGGGAAGTTTGGCAATTCGTGTGATGAGTTTCCGTTTGCGAGTGTTAAGGAGGGCGGGAGGAATGCGCATCTGAGATGTGTTAACATCAATGAGAATAGGAGTGAGTTCTCTCTTTGCTCTTTGGAGTTTTAAAGGCAGAGACTGATGGATGCAGGTGAGGGAGGACAGCTCCGCGGCTTCTATAGGAAGATCAAGAATGGCGACAAGTTCGGTATTACAATCAAGAATTACAGAAGAGCGTGCGTAGACAAGACGAGCCTCAGTCTTTCCCCTTAATACTGACAATATCGTTTTCCCAGCTCATATTGTGCCGCCAAGCCAAAGTGTCGAAATGACGGCGGCCAGTTCAAGTTGAAGAATGGCAAGTTCGCTCCATCCAGACAAGATCTCAACGGTACGGAGGAGTTTGACCCCGGTGAGGAGGACGAGTTTGTCCTCGACGAGGCGGTAAATGGCGAAGAAATGGAACCACTTCCCCTGAGACAGTTGGAGACTGATGACGGGGAGATTCATCTGGTTATTGCTGATGACCCGGATGACCAGATTAGTGTTGGACATGAGATCTGGAGTGAGAGTGCGAATGGAGCCGTGCGGGTTGTACGAGAAATTTTTGAGTAGAAGTTATCTTAGTACGGCCTTTGGTCCGATGGTGTGGGGGGGATTCAGATGGATTTCAATTTTAAAAGGACAACACAATCCGACTTTCTCTAGTTCTATCATCTTAATTCTATACTTTCTAAGTATATATCCGTATCAGTGCCTCCATAATCTTGCATGCATCATTTCTTGTGTATATATCCCGATTTGGGAACAGAAACACCATTCTTGTAATACTCAATATTCAATATCCGCCCCATCCAGGCCAGTGTCTCTGGGCTCCAATAATAGCTCGATCAAGGCGATGTTCAAGGTTTGCTTCGCATACATATACGGCGTCATTCCGCCGGCATCCTTGAAGTAGATATCTGCACCCCAATCTAGCAGCATTCTGGCTACATCGACATGGTTTCCTTCGATAGCGCTGATGGCGCTGCTGTTGCCATACCACGAGTTGTATCGGTAAAGGTACCCGTTGAGGGCACTGTAGAGAAAGTTGTTGACACGACAGAGATAATTGAGGTGAGCTTGGCCTAGGTGGTCTCCAATGAGGCGTAGGAGCTCCCGTGGCAGCTCAAGTAAGCCCATCCTTAAGTCGAAATGCTGTTAAAGCAGAGTATGAGCACGAAGGAGACGTCTACCGAGGCGTCGCGAGATCAGGAAACAAGATATGGTGAGGCCTTTTTTTTTCATTTTTTTTTTTCAATGCAATTAGTGAAGAACCAGATGTAAGCTTAGGCATAAAGTGATGTCTTTTCGTCGTATGAGAAAAGGGAGACGGACGACTTCTGTTTTTGCGGGGAGTTGAATACATGAGCCTGTTTCCTAATACGGTTAGCAAAGATGACATCAGCGTATGCATTAGTTATTTCTTCCCTCTTTTATTTGATATTCTTTCTGGATTTCTTGTCCTTTTCTTCCCTATTTGAAAATTTAGCTGCCGAACCGCGCCAGACAACATCTCCTGTCCTTTACTATGCTGTGCCTTCAAATTGAATAGCATATTCCAGACCAGCAAGAGGAGAACCAGGTCAGCATGATTTGAAACCCTGATCCACACGATCAATCAGACTAGCATGGTCAAGGCAGTAAAGGCAGACATCTTAGCCTACTAGATCGATGGCATCTCAGATGCCAGACCTCAAGTCCCTTATCAACAGCTGTCGAGCAGCGCTCATTAACGGCCATAAGTAGTCGTTTAGGCGGCCCTTATTGATCGAAAATTGCCCTCTGGACCGCCATGGTTACTAATGGGATACGGGTCAGCTGGAAATGGAAAGAAGATAATCAGAGCTAGGGCTCGAGATATTCTTGTGGTAAGCTGTTAGATCCAAATACCCTTTAGATTTGTGGCCGATAGAAATCCAGGCATTCAGTTTACCGCCTTCTCGCTCATCTTCTCCCCCCAGCGCTCTCTAAAAGCATGCTGGCAATCTTTTCATTTCGATTCTCAAGAGCCCACCAGAGTGGCCTGCGACCATTACTGTCCTTCGCGTTAGCATCGGCCCCAAGATCAATAAGCCTTTCACAAGCCTTTACACTTCCCATCCATACTGCATGCATCAGTGGGGTGACACCACCAACACCAAGGCACTCGATATCTTCACCGCTCTGCAACAGCAAGTCAATTATATCTGAATGGTTCGCTTGAATTGCGTGCAAAAGTGGCGTGATACCATCATGAGATTTGATTTGGATGTCGACGCCATGATCTAGTAATTTCCGGGCCGCATCGATGTACCCTGCATATGCCGCCCTGCTTATGACTGGACATGGGCTTGGTCGATTGGGATCCGCGCCATGTCGAAGCAATACGTCCACAACACAAACACAGCCTTCTGCCACTGCTAAATCCAGGGCAGTCATGTACCTGCCACGAATGAGTGCGGGGCTCGCACCATTGTGCAGCAGAAGCTCCACCACATCAGGGTAGCCACCCTGAGCTGCTACCATCAACGGAGTCATCCCTTTAACCCCAATCTGGTCAACATTCGCACCATGTTGAAGGAGACACAAGACCAGATTTTGATACCCTGCGCCAGCAACCAGAATAAATAGCGTGACCCTCCCATCACGCATGGTTAACTGCTCAGTATGAACATCTGCATCTTGGAGTTCCAGCCGGAGATGGCGGCAAAAATGATCAAGACTGCCTGGCATGGTCAATCCACAGAGCCCTGCCATGGTGTTCACATCTGCACCATGTTTGGTGGCGGCTTCCATGGCGCCCAAACGGCCATGGAGGGCTGCCCACTGGGGTACGCTACTGCCATGGCACCGCACATTATATTTATACAGAAGCTCACCGAGTTTGTAGTATAGAAAGCGATTAATTTGGTAAAGTGCGTTAACATCTCGTTGCAACTTCAGACACTCCGCAGTCAACAGGAGTATCTCTCCGGACAGCTGAATCATTTTCATGTTTCTTGGGTTTGTGGATAAAAAAGAATATCGTGTGGAGTTAAATATAGGCATCGGTCGCCTGATACGTATGAGCAGCTATTGTGACGGCTCAACGGCTCAACGGCTCAACGGCTCAACGGCTCAACGCCAGACAAACAGCGCCAACATATCAAACGATGCCATACAAGCAATATGGGCAAACAAGGGCTTAAGCCGCACCACACAAATGCCTATAAAGACCGTTCATCGCCTAGATAGATTTCCTTTTCTTCTGCTTCCCCAGATTCGATATTCTCGTTGATGGCTACAATAGTCTAGATAGGAATTCAGTTCGTTATTATCTTCTATTCCGAGCCCGTGACAGCTATGACATAAGCTTATATTCTAGTTCACTGTATACATAGAAACTTCGAGAAAACGCCGAGCACAAAGAAAGTCTTTTTCAATGGCATGCAGAAGCGCACTCTTGTCGGGAGTCGGATTTGATCCGGATGTCAGCACCATGATCCAACCACGTCCGAATAACGCCCACATGGCCTCGTCTTGCCGCGCTGATGAGAGCTGGATGCTCGGCTAGACTATTGGGGTCAGCGCCATGGCGAATCAAGACTTCTACAGCTTCAACATGACCATAACCTGCCACTGATTCTAGTGCATCTGAGCGATCGTCGGTCGTGAGGTCCGCTTTCTGCAAGAAGACTTCAACCACGCCAGCATGGCCCCTAGCAGCGGCAACATACCAATAGACCCGGCTCGCCTATAATCCGCGCTGCCCTCAAGCAAAGCCTGGACCGCACCTTCACATCCTCCCCCAGCCGCCAGAAGCAATGGTGTGGAATCTCCGTTGAAAAGGACAAACTGCTCCCCATTCTGAACCATGTCCCGCATTTCCATCTGAAGACGAGGGCAGAAGTAGTGGTATCGTTTGGGAAGGGTGGCTCCAGAGATCCCTACACATGTATTGACATACGCCCCATGTCTAACGGCAGCTCACACGACATCAGCGCGGCTGTGTATGGCTCCCCACTGCAAGACGCCGCTCTGGTAGTACTCCGTGTTGTACCAGTACAGGTAGCCAATGAGTTTCTTATAAATCTCGCCATTGGTCTGACAGAAAAGGTTTATCTCGCGGTGAGAGACCATATACTGCACAATAATTTGGAGTAACTCTTTCGGAAGTTGAGACAGATTTATTTTGTTTGGAGAGGTGGACTGAGCCATGGGCTGAGAGGTAGATTAGGCGGACACTGAACGACGGTTGAGAGACAAGTTGAGACGTAGATCGAGTTCGAGAACGGCCTTGGGAAGTTGTGAGTTTCTCGACACAATCATTGATAGGCTGAGCCAGAACTTACCCAAGAAACACACCATAAGCTCTCTTTCTCGGGTAGCTGGTTAGGAGAAGAGAGAGGATTGTTGTGAGAAGTCGAAAGGCATGACCTTATTCACTAATATGGGCTACTAGGGATGACATAACATATACAATTTCCTTCGCTCTCCTTGTTTGCACGTCTCTTGATTTCATCTGATTCTCCTTTTCGCTCAAGATTCTGTCTTCAAAGTTGCATGAAAGACTGTTCGATTGCAGTGGACAGGTTGCTCTTGGCGTTTATCTTCATCATGCCGTAGAATGGCAATGGCATTTGATGGCTGCAGCCGTGCTCGATACATCACAAATGAGGTAGACGAGAATAGTTTGGAGGACAGACAGAGTCTACTATGAAAAGGATAGGTGACTGCGTTCAGATACGCAAATCCACATGTTCAACCAAACTAACAGGAACAAGCAGACATCTCAACACGCTTATTTGACAAGCGCACCCGAGATACCAGAATCGGCTCTATGTTAATAGTCTTCGAGATCGTCACATACGTCCTCCATACGGAATACACTAGCAAGAAACAATTTAGCCGACAGCCGAAGACGAAGGGAGAGCCGGACAGATCTAGGGCTTAAGAGATCATTCCAGTATCCTTCTGGATTACGACTTTCTGCTATCTTTCCTTTTTCCTGGACGCCATCTGCGCTCCAAAGACACCATGGGATATTCTTGCACGACTTGCTACTCCGCACGTGTCAAAGCCACTCCGAATGGGGGATGACTGCGGCAAGCAAACATGGTTCGGGCGCGATATGGAAACTATCGATGCATATCGATTGATCGCACAATGCGCCTCATGCCGGTTCCCCAAGACCGGGTACCGTTTTTACTTTTTCCGGACAGGGATGTTTGCTGGTCCGGGTTCAGCTTGCAGGTACTAGTAATGCACTGCGTGGCGCCAGGATCGAAAAATGACAAATAGAAGCGATTCAACTAGCCAACGAGATTCAATGTTCGCAGGAAGTGCCTCGATATAAATCTACTAAGGTGATGCAATCCAAAATAGTATCCAGTCTCCGATCCAGGGTCGAAGTTTGTTATATATGGCGCCGGGGTCAGTGCTACTTGGTAGTTGCAAATTCTGAGAGAAAACAAATAAGAGAACAAGCAAACAAGTTATCTTGAGACATGAATGGCTCAGCTAACAAAGAAGAATGCACAGGGCACGAAATGCTTACAGAAAGAATGCCGCGGTCAAAACAAAGAACCCAAAGGTCCTTATTTGGCTGGCTTCACCACCATAGTCCCAAAACCACGGAATCATATAGAAATCGGGATAGTATAACTGGAAGAGACTAAGCTCCTGTACGAGGTGAGCTTTTGATCTACTAACGCGTTCACCAGGTTGAAACCGCAAATCATCGGGATAGTATAAAACGAGATCGCATGAACTGGCAAGACGATGGATAAAATCAGTACCCTGCCGCTAGAGCTAATTCTCATAATCCTCTCCCGCCTCCCTCTCAAGTCCTTGCTCGCCTTCGGCGCAACATCGCGCAACAACTATGAACGCCATATCCTGTGCGTCCGGCATCTTCGACTAGCTGTATTCCAGAAGCGAATCCACTCTGTCGTATCCTTCCTACAAGCTGGCTGGGCAGCTCCAGATGAGATAAGTGAGTCAGGAGACGTCAAAAGCACCGAGACACAACCCTCCATGCACACCGTCAACATTATCCAACCGCGTCTTCCTTTTGCTTCAACTAGTTCATCATCGCTCCACGAAAAACATGACGCCAAGGACAGTCTCAGAATACTCCAGAGATGCAGCCGACCCAATCTTTTAATGGGCCAAATGGTCCGCAACCAAAACGAAGTTTTCGCACAATTCGTCAACCGCTATGGAAGCTCCCTTGCAGAGCTGGAATTCATGGCATACGACCTAGACGCTCAAGGTGCTCGGGCTTTAGGCCAAAACTGCCAGGACTCACTGCGCCATCTCGCGCTGCGCTTCGAACACCCGCATATCCGCGATGGTTTTACGAAGCCGGCAATGTGGTTCCAACCAGCACCAGGGAGTACGGCTTGGAATGCACTGATCGGGATCGGGCCTCAATATAAACCCCGCGGCAAGATCACAGGACTGGAAACCATTATCATGGAGCGGGCTGGCATCACGCCATGGCAGCTGTCGATGCTTGTGCGGAACAGTCCTAATCTGAAGACGTTGAAGTTGAGGACGTGTAGTGGCGCACAACCAGAATTTTTGGACTGGTTAGGAGGTATCGACGAGGGATCGGACTCTGAGGGTATGCACGATGACTCTGAGCATGCGCCTGGTGCGCAACTGGAGGTTCTCTGGTTGGAAAACTGTCAACAGATCTTGGATAGAACGGTGGAGAAGTTTGATAAACTGCCGGATGAGATATGTGATATTGGTTTGGAATGGGTAAGAGGGCTGACGAGCTTGAAGGTCGGTTGTTCCTTTGCGTATACTTATTTGCGATCTTCGTTAACGATCTATAGTCCCTCTCTTTTAGCGAATGCGCGTGTTTATCACCCAAGCATGTTGACAGAGCGAACAAGTCTATCTGGGGTATTCCGGAGGTTATTTTGCCGCATTATCCTCCGTTCGCAGATTCTGTTTTGGAGGTCGATCCAATGTTTCGTAGTCTCTGAATAGATACAGAATACAACGAGCATGGCATGGTTAAAAACTTGGCTATTGCCTGGGTACGCTATGATACAATCTAGAATGGAAGTAGAGTAATTCAGATGCATGTCAAGTATACATTGCTTTTCCCAAGCTGTTACACCAGATTAAATCGAAACGAAACCTCAGCATCAACCTCAGTCGCCATACCATGTCCATGTTGCTTCTGTATACCTAAGCTTCGGCTGCATACAGCTGTGGATGTTGAGCCCTTATAGAGATGCGTCTACTGCTCTGTACTTCTGATCTTGCTGTGAATGATACTACCATTCACTCTTCATGGTATAGGAAAAGAATTCTCTTTCATTCATCACTGTGCTCTCTTCAATACTAACCTATTCTCTATGTTTTTTTTCCCTCTTTCTTTTTCCCTCTATTTCCTTTCTCATTTTCATTTTCCATACTGCTCCCATCGACAAAGCCATTTACACCTCACTAACCCTCACTTTCAATAACCATTCCTCGATCAACTCTTCCAACCCCAGGCATTAACCCTAACACCCACGGAAACCTCCCTCCCACCATGAGAAATTCCCGCGCCAACCATCTCTGGGAAACCACTTTCTCCAAACTCTTCCCCAAGCGTCACTCTCGAGAGAAAGAAGAAGAACCACCAAGACCTATCGAACCTGCTACTAAAATAAACGAACTCACCGACGGCTTTTACATGTACTCGCAGTCTCTGCTTGAAGAAGAAGAAGAAGCGAAAAAGAGAGAAGCAGCCATGGCGCACCAAAAGGAAGTGTCTGATAGTTCGGATAGTTCTTTTGCTTCTGCTTTGGTGAGTCAACACTTATTTCCTTCGTATATGGAAAGGAAGGTTGACTTATGGGATAGATGTCTCCTGTCGAGCGTCGTATCCGTCCTTACTCTATTGACAACCCTGACTGGGAGCAGCCTGGTGCGTTGGTGGAGGAGATCCGTGACGAGAATAGCCTGGACAAGGTCAGCAGTATCATGTCTGTTTATTCCAAGGTGTACGGCATTGCCAAGGTTGTCTATGTTGCGTTTGTGAGCTTTGGCGTTGAGGTAAGCTGTCCTCCCTCTATAGCAAGTAGAAAGCTAACGGTACAGCTTGACGACTTCCCCATGGGCTTCCTTTTCCACATCAAGCGTGCTGAAGACTACGTGCGTTCTGTCTCTCTGGCCGAGCTGAAAGAAATGGTCGAGAACTTGTACTACGCCGTGTACGCAAGACTCATCGCCGAAATGGCAAACGTCGAGCTCTGCTCTTCGTTCACCGTCGACATCCGTCGTGCCTCTGCTAAAGACACCATCGTCCTGCCCGAACCCAGCCACATGTACAAGATCTTCCTGTCGTGCAAGGAAATACTCGACTCGCCCAGCACCTGCAGCGAGCTCAACAAACACACCATCCAAGCCTGCCAGGAAGGCTTCATCCGTCGCATCGCCAACCGCATGTCCACCGGCGGCTTCTCCCTCGACGACGTCCTCGGTTACCGCCGCCACATCCTAGCCGAAGTCTCCAACGAGCTCTCCCCCTTCTGCCAGAAATGGCACCGTCTCTCCGTCGTCTACCGCATGCCCGCCGCCGAGGTCCTCGCCGTTCTCTCTGAGAAATACCTCGCCATCATGCCCAAGGCCCCCATTCCCGGCGAAATCCCCGTCTCCGACCTCCCCTTTATCAACCCCGACACCATCCGCCCGGACGTCTGGGAGCGCCAGATCATCCTAGACCACCGCCAGGCCACACTCGCCAAGCTCGAGGGCAAGTCCATTGGTGACATCCGCCGCGAGAACAACGGCCGACGTCTGTTGGATTTTGTCAAGGAGCGGAAGTGCGTGTGTCCGTCGACCTGCGATTGTGCGCATGATTGCACAATGAACATCGAGCGTCCGTGTCCTTGTGCGCCGCGCATGATGCGGATTATGGTTGCTAAGCGTCGTCGGGGTCCGGGTGCGCAGACTCTGGGCGACAGGTGTAGTGGTCTGGCTAAGGCTATCTTCGACGGTCTTGCGGTGATTAGTCGTCATACCGGGGACTCACAGATGGTTGATGAGCTGGGTCTCGCTCTTCAGCTTATCGAGGAGGAGATTCAGAAGGAGTGCATGGCTAGTGAGTGAGTTACCGTGTTGTGTGTTTCTGGATCTCTGAGGGGAGTTGGAGGGTGGTGGGCGACATATGCCTTGCGTTTCTTGCTTTCTGTATATAATGAGTGACGAGAAATGAGAATTCGATCATGTTTACTGTGTTTTGCTCTGACTGGATACTAGGGTGCTGGTAGTACAGGGCTAATTCAACACATGATTTACTTGACTACGGAGTAAGATGGGAGTAAATTGGACTAACGGTAATTCATTCTACCGACCTCACCGAATACAGCATAGATGTCCGACCCTATAGGGCTGACCCACACATGGCGGGCCCAACAAAAGCTTCGCTTTCCCGACCAATGTGGACACGGAGAATGTAAATGCCTAGAGACGAAATAGGGGCACAGTGTGAAGAATTGCCCCCGAGCAGGACCGTATCAACATGATGAAAGGCGTATATACATGATTTGAAAGGTACCGATGATCAAATACCTCGACATAATCTCCCCATTCGACTATCAGTCCAGTCTCTTCCGGGCGACGCACCGAGATCAAGCAAATAACGGACCGAAACATTGTCCACCAACTTCCATACCCACACCGCTATCCGTTACACCCGACAGCACATTCCACTGGGTCTGATCAGCACCGTGGTTTAGCCAACGCTGAATGAAGTCTGTAAGGCGCCAATCAGGGGAAGTGGACCCGATGCACGCAGCAGTTTCTGTGCCAAGTGTGTTTTCTCATTTGTGTCCCCCGGGTATTTGCACAATGATGGAGCTGGTTGTGCAATATTTCGCAAGTAAAGGATATCGAGTTTGTAGAGTTGAGGATGGGGCATTAGCTACCCAGCACACGGCCCAGATGAGGATGAAGACCAGGTAGATTGATAGGACGATCAGTCGTCGGTGTTGCCAGTGCATTGTGAGTTATATGCTTGTGAAAGACTGCTGTTGACGTGAGTTTCTGTATGGTTGAGAGTTAGGAGACTGACGTACGATTGTATATGGTTGCATAGTCTGCATTCTGGTCTAGGAGACGTTGAAGTTATAGAAACGGCGTGGCGGTTTGAGTTGAAGAAGAGCAGAACAAGGCTCTAGCCTTGTTGCAGTTTAGGTCAGGCAACAGTTTATGCGTTTCAGCAAACCAGAGCTGTCTGTGCTGTTGCAGTGGGACTTGAACCGTAAGGCTGAGGCTCTTGCCATATCACTGAGCTCCAACCACTCTGTAAATACTCCAATAGCAGAGAAATGGACTGTCAATGTTTAAGAGCTCAGATATGTACCATTTCCGGTAGAAAGCAGTCGATGAATGGCCATAGGGTTTTGTCTTCCACGTCCATGGATGGTGACTATATTTGGTAGCAAGAGACTATGAGTCCAAATCAATGCTATTCTTCTCGATGTGATACCTCCGGGAAAGAGCGCAAGGGAATGACGAGCAACGGCTTTTCTTATTCCTATTCCTATTCCTATTCCGATTTTTTGTTTGTTTTCATTTATGTTGTGCTCTTTAACGAACTCCGGGCATATGGATAGCACCGTACCATACCGAGGAACACCGAGCACGGGATGGCGCCCGGCGATTTGATGTCATGCAAACCTTAACCCACTGGAAAGTGCAGAGATTCGACTGATCTGAAGGCCAAGAGAACGTCCTGTCCTCTCAGAAACCCGATATAACAGGTCTGGAATGGGCAGTGGACGTGCAGGCCAGCTGTACTCGGCGCATCGCGGTAGTCATCATCATGCAATGACTCCTCCGCCCTTTTCTGTTTCGTCGCGCAGAAATGACTTTACGACCTTAAAGAAAGAAAGAGACAGATAATTATTCCTCGATTCATCCGCTGGGGAGTGCATTTGCTTGTTACTTCTCTTCGGCATGGTCATAAAAGTGGCGGCTGCCGTTACCCCTGCCACTCCCTCATCCACGGTCATAGTCCGGCGTTATAACCTCGCAACGACGACCATCACCACGCAAAATATCACGGCTAGATCATTCAGCAGTCCCCGGTGGATCAAGGCGCTGTGGAATGGACGACAGACTCCCGTGCGGTGGTATCGCGCCTGGCCTTCCTACGGCGTCATCACCCCCGGTTCCGAGAACCATACCCAGATCGACTCTAGCACAAACACGACTTCCTCTGCCAGTCAGAATAATACCCACCACAGATTACCGTTCTGCTTCGAGACGGGCTATGCGCTTTGCGCCAAACGGCCTCCGCGCCCGTTCCCCCCACCGTTCTTGTCCCCGCCGTCGTCCTCGTTTTCCGAGCCCCTAACCACTCATAACCAAAGTCAGGATAAGAGATTATCCGTCAGGGGGGAACACATCCGGGGGTTGAATAATGGCGATGATGCCGTGTTGGTTGGTGAGAATTTTCTCGGGGTGAATGATGGGGTAGGGGCTTGGGCGACTAGGTCGCGAGGTCATGCTGCGTGAGCATCTTTATCCCCAAGATTCTAATCGGTACATTTTACTGACTTATATGCACTGGATAGGCTTTGGTCGCGACTTTTATTACACTTCTGGGCCCTCGAAGTTGAGCGAAACCTCGACGACACAACCGCCCCCGACCCGGTCGAATATCTACAACGTGCCTACGAAGAAACCGTCGAAGCAACAACGTCCCCGAGCGAGTGGTACGGGACAACAACGTCAGTAACTGCGCTTTTACACTCGACCCACGACGACGCAGGCGAGCACAAACCGATCCTCTACGTGACGAATCTAGGGGATTGCCAGGTCCTCGTTATCCGTCCGAGCGAGGAGAAGGTCCTCTTCCGGACACAGGAACAATGGCATTGGTTCGATTGTCCCATGCAGCTGGGGACTAATAGCATAGATACCCCGCGGAAAGACGCAGCACTGGCACAGGTCGAGTTGGAGGAGAATGATATCGTTTTGGCCCTGTCTGACGGCGTCCTTGATAATCTCTGGGAACATGAGATCTTGACCATCACCGTGGAAAGCGTCAAGAAGTGGGAACAGGGACGGGATGAAGACGAGGACTCCGAATGGGCGCCTCCGGCTGCTTTGGCCGATGAGCGGATGGTGTTCGTGGCGCGGGAACTGCTGAGAGCAGCTCTGGCCATTGCGCAGGATCCTTTTGCTGAGAGTCCGTATATGGAAAAGGCAGTTTACCAAGGATTAGCTATTGAGGGGGGTGAGTCGACCATTTTCGGCCATTGAAAGTTACTATGGACATGTGCTGACTGTACCAGGGAAAATGGACGATATCAGTGTCGTGGTTGGCTCTTGCAAGAGAAGAGAGAGCTGACAGTCTACATTGCAGTGTTCTTCCACGAGCTTATTGACCTACGATTACCCGTTCGCTGGAGGACCGTGACTGGAACTGTTGCTCATCATCTCGACTCAACATCTTGATATGAAACCCCGACCAATTAGCACCGGCGTGGTGCCAATGAGCATCAAATTGAGTTCCACACTGACACGATACCTTTGCCGGGACATACACACATTTACCAGTGGCTTTTGGCGTTTTCATGATACCAGGTGCATTTGCATCATGTTCATAAAGAATGTTTCGGACATATGGACCTGCTTGTTGATGCAGGAATTGATATAATTTGTAATTAGACAGGGAGGCTATATTTACTTGTAAATAATTAACCCATACAATTCGCAAGAACAACCATATAATCTCTTCCATACTCCGTACCCTCAATCCCATAGAAAGCACAGACCATATATAAAGCTCCGCGACACCGCCCGGCAAAAAAAGTTTCTCGAAGCGGATTCCATCAGCAAGATTATTTCCTCTTCTCCTCAGTAACAACTTCAATTCGCAAAGCAAATCAAAATGAGAGCCAAACGTTCAAAGAAGTACCGCAAGTTAATGCACCAGTATGAGCTGGCATTCAACTTCCGTGAACCGTACCAAGTGCTGGGTATGTCGCAATTGATCGCGACTACAAATGGAAACATGGATACTAATGATATGAACAGTTGATTCGAATTTCCTTCGCGCAACACACTCGTTCAAAATGGAGATTATTCCTGCGCTCGAACGCACACTGCAGGGTCAAGTCAAGCCTCGTACGTGCTATCCGCCGACAACAATCCATTGCCGCTCATGCTAACCACTCTGCAGTATTGACAAAATGCTCCCTCGCAGCCGTCATGGCCAGCCAACCCATTAACCCCAGAACAAACAATCCCTACCGCCCCGATCATCTCCCCCCTCCCACAGTCGTCCCATTACGCCACTGCTCCCACAACAAAGACGACACCCCCATCGACGAAAACGACTGCCTTCTGTCCCTCTTCTCGCCCTCGCCGAACTCCAACTCCAAAAAGAATAAAGAGCATTACATCCTCGCGACTGCGGACCCGCAATCCCCCGAAAAGGTCGTCGCGAGTACACAGGGCGATATGAAGAAGAAGAAGCGCGCGGAGATGGACGCCGTCGATGCTGTGCGGAAGTCGCGCGCGCTGAGGGCTCATACGCGTGCTATCCCGGGTGTGCCGATTGTGTATGTGAAGAGGTCGGTTATGGTGCTTGAGCCGATGAGTGTGCAGTCCGAGGGTGTTAGGGATGGGTTTGAGCAGGGCAAGTTCCGGGTTGGATTGGATGATGAGTCGAATTTGGGGAAGAGGAAGAGGGACGGCGAGGGCGGTGGTGAGGGTGAGCCAAAGAAGAAGAAGAAGAATAAGATTAAGGGGCCGAATCCGTTGAGTGTGAAGAAGCCCAAGAAGAGGGAGCCGGATGCACAGGGGAAGAAGCAGGAGCAGAAGCCGCAGAAGCCCAAGAAGAGTGAGGGTGGTGATGCGCCGGAGCAGAAGGAGGGTGATTCGAGTGCACCGAAGCCTAAGAGGCGGCGTCGTCACCATAGCAAGAAGGAGGGTGGTGACGGTGGTGACGGTGGTGACGGTGGTGAGCCGTCCAACGAGGGCCCCGCGGATTCGATGGATGTTGAGTGATTTTGATTACTGCAGATACATCATGGAATGGCGTTCCGGCATGGGTTTGTATATAAAAGTTAAAAATGAATTCGATCGATAATCGCAGAGAAGAGTAATTCCCATAATTGCGTATGTATATACCAGGGTATATCTAGATAATATACAGTCCACATGATCCCAAACGCCAGTCCATCAATGCAATCATAATACATCCATTTCTTCCCGGTCCTCAACAACTCAACCCCAACACCCGGTCACACCTACTGCTTCTCCCCCTCCCCAGACCCCGCCGCAGCAGGCACATTCCCCTCAAAAGCCCTCTCCTCCGCCCAAATCTTCTCAATCCGACTCCTGTTATCCCTCGCCTGGTCCCGATTCCGCTTTGCGCGCGCGTACCGCTCCGCCGCAAGACACCGGTTGACGTCGCGCTTGATGTCGTTGCAGCTGCCGATGGCTTTGTGCAGGAAGCCGCGGGCGTGGCATTCGTCTAGGGCGGTCATGATTTCTTCGCAGTCTAGGGTTTGTTAGTATGGTTTAGTTTGAATTGGGGTTCGGCGGGTTTTGGTTGATCGTGGAGAGTGAGGGGGAGGGACGTACTGGCATTGTAAGGGGTGTGGAGGTGGGAATGCATTTTGGTTGTTTCCCTGGGATAATCCAGGCAATTCAAGGAAAATAATTGAGGATAATGCGAGATGATGGTAAATCGTCTTGATTTGAATATTGTATGATTGGTGCATCGAGCAAAGACCGGGCGGTCAAGAAATCGGAATGAATTCTGCCGGACGGAAACAGGAAATTTGTCGCTCCGCCCAAGAAAAAAAAAAAGTTGCACGGCCTCGAATAGAAGGTTTTGCTTCTACATTGTTTACGAGAACTTTTGTTTCTCGATTTGATTTTAGAGGTCGTTTGTGGATGACCTGATATTTACCGCTCTTTTCATTGTTTATGATTCATTGAAATCCACGCGAAACCAATAGATATCACCGACACCCCGCCGCATCACGGCAGAAAAGTTCTTCATTCCTATTTCGTCTTGTTTCTTGTTTATAACTCACGATGTCCATGATCACGACCTCCACCTGGGTGCGCCGCGGTGCTGCAGCCCAATTCCCCACCAAATATGAAATCGACGAGAAAGAGATGAACCGGATATCCAACCTTGCGCGGATGCAGTTGGAGGAAGCACAGGGCGATCTGAGCGCTGCTCAGGAGGGCAAGGAAGATGAGGCTATGGATGAGGACGAGGAGAAGGAGGATGATAAGGAGGATGAGGGGGTTAAGAATGGGTCGGAGAAGAAGGGGTGAGTTTGCTGTCGGGTTTGGGAAATGGGATGAATGGGGATGCTAATGTGGTTGGTAGTGACGATGACGAGCTTAAAGAATACGATCTCGACCACTATGACAGCGACGAAGTTGACGAGGATGGCGAGAAGATTACAATGTTCGGGAATGTCAAGTCGTTGGCTTACCACCAGCCCAACGAAGAGGACCCCTACCTTGTGATGCCGCCGGAGGAGGACGAGGAAGAACGCGAGGAATTGCAGGTCCTGCCTACGGATAACCTGGTGCTCGCTGGAAAGGTAGAGGATGAAGTTGCTCATCTTGAGGTGTATGTCTACGAAGACGCGGCGGATAACCTCTACGTGCACCACGACATTATGCTGCCTGCCATCCCTCTGTGTGTCGAATGGCTCGATATCCCTGTTGGTAAGGCTGCTGAGGGGCGGACTTCTGGTAACTTCGTCGCTGTCGGAACTATGGAGTCGGATATCGAAATCTGGGATCTCGACGTGGTGGACTGCATGTACCCTAACGCCATTCTGGGCCAGGGAGGAAACGACGAAGAGAAGAAGTCCAAGAAGAAGAAGAAGACCAAGGCCAACGACGAGTACCACGTCGACTCGGTCCTTGCGCTCGCTGCCAACCGCCAACACCGCAACCTGCTGGCCTCCGCCTCGGCCGACCGAACTGTCAAGCTCTGGGACCTGAACACCGGCAAGTGCGCCAAGTCCTACACCCACCACACCGACAAGGTCTGCTCGCTCGACTGGCACCCTACCGAGTCCACCGTCCTGCTGAGCGGTAGCTACGACCGCACCATCGTCGCCGCGGACATGCGCGCCCCCGACTCCAAGGCCCGTTGGGCCGTCGACGCAGACGTCGAAGCCGTCCGTTGGGACATCCACGACCCTAACTTCTTCTACGTTGCCACTGACGCCGGTATGGTCTACCGGTTCGATGTGCGCAACGTCCCCGCCAGCCCGCAAGAGTCCAAGCCCGTGTGGTCGCTGCAGGCGCACGACTCGTCCATCTCCTCATTCGACATCAACCCCGCCATCCCCGGCTTTATCGTCACCGGCTCCACGGACAAGCAGGTCAAGCTGTGGAACATTGCCGACAACAAGCCCAGTATGGTCGTCACGCGCAAACCTGAGGTCGGCAAGATCTTCTCGACCACCTTTGCTCCCGACACGGACGTCAGCTTCCGTCTGGCGATTGCCGGTAGCAAGGGCGTCATGCAGGTGTGGGACACCTCTACCAACGGTGCCGTCCGTCGCGCGTTCGTCTCGCGCATGCCATCTCTGGAGGGCGATGTGCAAGAACGGACCGTTGGTGTCGCACCGGACCAGAACGATTCGGACGATGATGGCGATGCAGGTGAGGCTGAGGCAGCTCCTGGCCCTGATGGCTGGGAGTCGATGGACGAGGATTAAATTTATACGAGATGGAATATTGTTGAATAGATTTTTGTTTATACATATTTGCAGGAATAAAAAAGTTGAGATACCCCAGTGGACCGTGCATGTCAATCAATCTGAGCGTTGGCCGCTGATAATCCACTCACCGCCTGCGTGTGTTACGAGGTGGCAGTATAAGGCGGTGACATGTATGTACCTGACATTCATGCACGACATTGTACATCACAGGGACAGTGCGCTTGAATTTCTGAGTTATTCATGCTAGAAATAGTCACTCATTCAGGGGCCGGCAGCAGCTAAGTCTGAACAGGTATATTCATGGTCGATATTTATAGTGACGTCGAAACTGCATGTCTTCTCAGTCTGACGCACCGAGAGTTTGAGACAGATCCTTCATAATGTATCTGAGTTAAGGCTAATGATCACCTGACGTCAAAGGGCGTCTACGGAATATGTGATATCTGAAGATCTTTTTAGTCGAATATCCACGATAGCGCCAGAAGTTCCGAGCATTCATGCCGGCGAGAACGACCAAGTCACGACGAAAGACTGCCAAGTATTGTACCTCAAGTCACTGCACCATGGACTACCAGAGCCGAGAAACACCCGTCCATCCGGCGCAAAAACGCGTACGTACCCTTGCCGGTGGCTGTCATGGTAGTTGATGGCAAGTGGCTGGACGCCACGATGCTAAGGTTGGTTTTGCAACTGCGAGTTCGCCGTTCGCCGGCTTCAGGGTCCATCGAGTTGGTCTGGATGCAGATGCAGACGATCGATCGATCAGGCTTAGTGGCAGGTAACGGGTGCCTTGCTGAGTAGTACAGAGTACCGCTGATGCGCATCGCGTACGTGCGTGTTCTGTCCACCCGAACACCCAAGGGAAAAGGAAGATAAAAAAATTCCCACTTGCCACTAACTGTCTAGACCAGCTAGTAGCCTCAGGCAGAACGAGGCGAGCCCTTGATAGGTACGTTCCATGGTTGAGCGAATGTGGTTTATCCATAGTTCGTCCGCGATGGAGATGATGTGTACAATAGGAGTATTGTAGGGCGGGGCATGAAAGGGAGGTGTGTCTCTATTGGGTATGGAGGCGCAAGGGCTTTCATCGCAGTACAAGTACATTGTCTATTTGGATAATGCTATTATTGAACTTTGCTTGTGTGTTCAATTCTACAGAATGCTATACAAATTGTATGAAATGCTGTAGTTACTTGTAACTAGAGTGTGGATAAGATGCTGAGTCATCGGTCTGGATCGGGCATTTCCCGATGGAGAGGTGGGGTGGTCCACTGAGTAGACGTGGGATAGAGTACTTGTACAGTGAACTTTTCTCTATCACATTTGCAGAAAACAGAGAGACGGCAGAACATACAAACATATAGTACCTATAAATCAGGATCGATATCACACTTTATCGCCGACAGGAGTCAAGTTGAGACGCCGCGGCGTTTCATCTGGAGGATGCTCGGCCGGAGATGCCATGATTGGCCAGTGCGTCCGCCGGCGAGCCTCCTGGATGCTTGGGATAGACATCGTAGAGGGCTCCATACATGCACGAATATGTGGCATCCAGGGTACTACTAGTACTCCTTCGTACAGCAGTGGATAATGCACCGGAACACCGGAGGTCAGTCCCTGGGCATATAGAAACCAGATAAAAATCAACCATGGATACAAAACCCCAAAGAATGGACTGCGAAAAACCTTGTCTGGGCCAATCTCCACGGTTCACACGGACCCCATCAATCAAAGTGGGCAGAAAAAGTGGCATTTCGCTTCGTTCTCCTCTTTTTCTCCTTTCGTCTCTCCCTCCCATACTTTATTCCTCCCACATTCCTCTTCTTTTGCCTTTCTTGGGGTTCTTTGCCTCTGGAATTGATCTCTGCTGTGCAGTGATTATATCATTTCCATTCCTTGCCTTCGTTGCCTCTTTTTTTTTTTTTTTTTTTTTTTTTCATCTTTATATTTTTACTTTTTCCAGGGTCCCCGGCTGGTTTCTGGACACTGGTTAATTGTGTTAGTATTGGACGCATTCCTGGTTGTGCGCTCCTTCTATATTCTCTACTACGGAGAATAATCATTACAGGCAGGGAGTAAACAGGCTGGATTCTATAGTGGTCGTCTCTTGCTGTGCAAAGACACACTCCGACCACCGCATTCATTCACAACCGTGATACTACCTGTCACTCGAATCGCTGCAATCGTCGCTGATAACACTCATTCCGATCATCTTCCATTCCTTCTGCTGTCATCGCTCTTTCTCCACTGTCTGCGATCGTCTAGCATTCCTGTGTTCGATTTTGATACGTCAACTGGACTGTCGCATCGGATATTCGATTTCAACGAAACGATAAAAAAAAAAAAAAAAAAAAAAAAAAAACCCGGTTGCCTGTCACCTAGCTAAACTACCATCTATCATCTGAATACAGGTAGCCCCCCGCGCGGGGGGTGCTTGGGTTTTCATGGCTGTCAGCCAGCAAATCAAGCGTATTGAAAAAAAAAAAAAAAAAAAAAGGCGAAACCCAGAGAAAGGGTATATATTCTTAAGTACATCCACGATTCCCGACAAACCAACAACCATGACCAGCCTCACTCGTGCGTTCACCAAGCGCCACAAGCGTCCCGAGGTGTCTGCTCCTATGCCCTACCGCGAGGGTCAAGTCAAGTTTTCGTCGGGCACGATTAAACGGGGAAAGATTTCGGGTCCTGTGCAATTGGTTTCGACTACCAACATGCTGGCTTACAATGCGCCCGATCTGGGCTCTACAACATCATCGTCATCCTCGTCCATACGATCGCCAGACGACTCGGAGATGTCGTTCTCCCAGCAGAGCTTCGGAACGCCCATTACTTCGCCAGATGACTCATCCCGGGATGTCTCGCCAATCGAGCCGAATCAAGCATCATATTTTCCCAAGCAACAGTTTATTCCCAAGCGATCGGCGACAACAATCAGTCACACTCGGTCATCCACTTCGACTACTTCTTCTACAGATGCACCAATGGTCCCAAGACGGGCGCTGTCGCATACCAAACGGTCGCATCAGGAATTGGCCCGGCAGCGCTCGCTGTCGAGGCTAGATCCCCCGCCGCTGAATGTCTCTCGCACCCCCTCAGTTCGTCAAGCACCCGATCCGTCCTTCAAGACGGAAGCGCATCCATTTGGCAAGGAACTCGAGCAGGTGAATGAGGTGGCGGAAGAGTTTGGTGGCACCACCCGGCGATTTGACGAAGAAGAAGCCGTTCTGTTCAGCAAGGGCCTCAGAAAATTCACCGTGGACGATTATCTCGTCGAGGTGAATGACCTGTACGGAAGCATCTTCGACGACCAGCTGGGACCAATCAGTGTTGCTCATTGGCTGTGAATCGTCGGATTTGTTTCGTTGTGACGAAATCGGAATGTCGCTCAATACGGAAGAGGAGAACAGGCTATTTTCCCTTTCTGTCAGGCGTCATAATTGTACACCACCGTGTGATTTTCCACTCGTTTCTCATTTGTACATGCTATTTATGCTATTTAATTGTTCTGTTTTCGTTTTGTTATATACCATTTGGGTACTTGATTGATTACCCCTGCGTTTGTTATCGGATCGGTGGCCTTTTCTGTTTTTGCTATTTATCAACGGGACTACGGAACATTTACGAGACAAGATATCTGGTGTGAATGGAATGGATTGAATTATATTGAAGTCATAATACTCCGTAGTGAAGTCGCAATAATTACATAGAGTAGAAGACCATGTGACACCACGTGATATGTCCACTAAAACGGTAACGCGTCGCGGTCACGCGATGGTCACGGGTCTGGAGCCTCAGGCCCCACAGCCGACGTAAAAAATTTGCTCTCCCCGGCTTTTCTCCTCGACGCCAGAGCAGCATCCGCCATTTGCGTTGGGCTGCAGATACATCGTTCATTTCTCAGGCCTTATGCTATGATCTAAGTGGCACTTATTCCCGATTATTCACTCTCTCGTTTATATATTCTTAATCCCCTTATTCTGATCTGACCGCTCAGCCTGACACTGGTGTCGTGTGCTTGGACCAATCCGCCCTCACTCGACCATCAACAACTCCTACGAACAAATCCATGACGAGATCCGTGGCCTTACCTATTTTGCCAACTCCTACAATCACTTATTATTCCTCACCATAGCCATGGTTACCTTTGCCACCCCTGCTTCGCGCCCAGCGGCGACATCATCCAAACCGAAACCCAACCCCTCCGTGTTAGCGGCCTCTTCGCCTGTGCCTATCCTCAAAACCTCCAAGACTGGAACCTCGACGCCTTCACTCAAACGGAAAATGACGAATGTGGATTTGTCGCTGTCGCCATCGTCCGCGGCATCCGAGGGAAGCGATGCAGCTCCTAGCCCGAAGAAGCGGGTTCGAGTACAATTCGATAAGGAGGTGGATATGCGCGAGGTGCCGGCCAACGAGCCTAAGATCCGTGAACATAATACTGGTACTGTGATGGAGAAGAGCGCTGCTGTTGTTCGGGAAGAAGTTCGCAGAGCCCTTCAGCGTCATATCTCGGGTACGGATAGTGAGGCCTACGACCGTATTAAGGAGATTTTCTCGGCCGATCCGAAGCGTCAGGACGAGGATGAGTCGTCGTATGGTATTCCCTCGCATAGTACGTTGAAGCACCATCTTATGGGTTTGCTGTCGAATGTTGCGTCATTGGACCGCAGCTGCAATGGGTTGGTGCATGCGGTTTTGAGCAGTGAATGGCTCGGGCGGGATGAGTCGTATGTGAAGCTGTTTATTCGGTTTATGGGGAATCTGGCTGCCGCTCAGGGAAGCTATCTCGGGTCCGTGCTGAAAATGCTGGTCAATAACTTGGGTGAACTGCCCAAGGGTATTGGAAGGATTCCCGGATACGCTGTTGTTCAGGCTTCGGAAGTTTACACAAGAGTTCATATGGCGCTTCGGTATTTGTTGCAGTTGATTCCGTCTGGAAGTGGGTCGTTGTCTCCGATCTTGTCGATGAATTTTCCATTTGACACGGACTCGGCCAAGGCGAACATTGCCTACACCCGGAATATCCTTCGTGTAGTTAGCTACGCCCCTGAACTTCAGGCCGATGTTCTGGCGCTTGTTACAGAGAAACTGGTTAAAATCGATGTGCAAATTCAGGTCGACATGGAAGACTTTGAAGATGAAGTGGGTGAGGATCTCTTGCATGATACGAATGTCGACGACGATGATGACGACGACAACGCTTCGGTTCAGAGCGACGACTCTGCTGATGATGAGTCGCGTCGCATGCAGACTGTCAAGGACAACATCCTCAAGTTGGATGGTATGATCGATCTGCTTTTCGAGTTCTATGCACCTCCGTTCACGTCGGGCACGCTGGACGAAAAGGAGAACGCCTTGGACCTCCTGCTCAGTCACTTCCAGAGTATCATTCTTCCTACGTACCGCTCGCGCCACTCCCAGTTCCTTCTCTTCCACTTCTCCCAGTCCTCGCCGATTCTTGTCGATCGCTTTGCGGCGACATGCGTGCAGCTCTTGTTTAACAAACTGCAACCCGGTATCATGCGTCAATCGGCAGCTGCATACCTGGCCAGCTTCGTTGCCCGCGGTGCACACATTTCCGGTGATGTGATTCGCGACGTTTTCGATCTCCTCACTACTCACCTGGACAACCTGCGGATTGAGTATGAACCCGCCTGCCGCGGTCCTGACCTCCGTCGCTACGGTCCATTCTACTCAACCGCACAAGCCCTACTCTACATCTTCTGCTTCCGCTGGCGTGACCTGACCACCGCTGCCATGGAAGGCGACACTCCCGATCAAGTCGACGAGCTCGAACCCGAAGAAATCGAATTTCCACCCTACATCAAAGAAACCCTCCACAGAGCCATCCAGTCCAAGCTCAACCCCCTCAAAGTCTGCTCACCCGCCATCGTCTCCGAATTCGCACGGATATCCAACCACCTCGATTTCCTCTACCTCTTCAGTATCCTCGAGACCAACAAGCGCATCCGCATCACGTCGTACCGCAGTCTATCCTCCATGGCAGACCCGCGCTTCAGCCAGGTAGAGCGGGAAACTCGCGCAGGCGATGATCTGGGATACCAGCTCGATGCATATTTCCCGTTTGACCCATATCAGCTCCCGCGGAGTCGACGCTGGTTGGAAGGGGATTATGTCCATTGGCGAGGTATCGCCGGTCTTCATGACGGTGACGATGGATCGGATAGTGAGGCTGGGAGCGATGAGGAGAGTGTGAGTGATGATATGACGGAGACGGATGAGGATTAGCTGCCGTCTTCTCTTTCATTGTTATCTTTTTATCTAGATTTTCGTGCTCAATACCCCGTGCTTATGTTTCATGTCGGAAAAGTTGTGATTTAGCGTGGCGTATGGTTGGATTTATGTAACATACGAGTAAATAGTTAGGAATGGATTGCATTATCAAACAAATCACCTTCACATATCAAACCAAACACTTATGGCTAAGACTAAGCCTTCCGCCCTGTAACACCAACATACTTCCACCCCCGTCTATAATTCACCACCACAGCAACGGTATTAATAAACCTCGCCTCAAGCCCTAACACCCGTACAATCACATACGGCACAAACAGACAAATAACAAGAAACCGGAGAAGCGGACGCACGTTCGCTGTGAGATCTTCCTCGCGGACATCTGCGAAACCAGCATCCCGGACTATCGCTGCTAGTCCTCGTCCATCTTTTTCACTCCCTGTAGTTGTCGTGGTAGTGCCAGTAGCAGTAGGATCAATCCCACCATACTGGTGCACTTTGCTCATTTCCCCCTCTTCTGAAGTAGAGGACATCCAATGATCATATTCATACAACGCAATCCGCCCACCAGGCTTCAGCACGCGATAAAACTCCCCAAGAACAGTGCGTAGATCAGTCGCATGCGCGAGGGTTTCGATTGTATATACCGCGTCGAATTTGCTATCCGGGAATATAGGACTGAGGTCGTGGTAGTCGCCTTCTTGGATTGAGAGATTCTCGAGACATCTCACCGCATTGGTTTGAGTGGATGCAGGGTTGTTGGTGTTGGCTTTGTAGAGGCTTCCGAGTTCGTGCTCGGCGTTTTTCCTTGAGATAGACACCTTATCGGGTAATAGGTCGATAGCATGGACTTTTAATCCGCGTTTTGCGAAGTATATCGCCATATCCCCCGTTCCGCAGCCTGCATCTAGCACCTCTCCTTCCCGCTCTCCCTTCCCATTTCGATGTATCTTCAACGATTCAAAAGCCTGGTCCTCCATTGCAAGTAGGGCCGGGTATATCGGAAATGGATTCAGCGATTTGGTATATTCCCATAATCCTGCATTTGGAGGGAGGGATGGGTAGTATGGGAGATGTGAGCGGCCGCCGAAGAATAGGGCGTTGCCGAGGCGGGTTTCGAGGGAGGTGTAGTAGGATTCGACTGACATTATTCTTGGTCTTTTTTTTTGGGAGGGGGGGGGGGGGGGGGATTTGATGGTTTGGGATTTGGAGGGAAGGAGGGAGATTGGGTTATTGAGGGGTTAGTATTTATATTCGAGTCATGATGGTGTTGGTGCTGTGTTGATATTGTTGTGGTTGTATTGTTCTCGGTGGTGGGACTCTTTATGTATAAAGTTGGATACGAGTTCGTTTGATCTGATGTACCATTGAAATAACAAGACTTTACTTGTAACTTAGAGAAAAAGAAAAAGAAACTACAGAATACAGGCGACGTAAAAATCAATTGCAGCTTTAGTACTCCGTAAAGGCTGTTCAGGGTAGCAAGAAACTGGCAACTAGAGAAGCTGTGACCAGGATGCACGACCGCAATTCAATCGAGGAGCGGAAATTCAGGCACAATGACCTCGTTGTCGCAGCTTAGTACATGGGTGGATGAATGGTCTTCTTTGAAGATTACTTTCCAGAGCTTTGTACCTTCAGCGCCTGATAAACTATTAGCTTTTATCTCGCCTGAAGGTGAAGGGATCATACCGTATCTTTTTGGGACCGAGTGCCTGAAGTCCAATATCAACCAGTCCTTCAAGATACTCTCTGAAATCCATCCGTTGTAACTTCCCACTGGTAAAAACTACTCGCAGTGCTCGTCAAGCCTGTCTCCATCTCGAACTATCTCAATTCCCCATCCTCGTTCCTTAATCCTAAAGTCGACACAACCCTCCCCGGCAAATGACCATTCACTGGAGAGAGCAACACCGCGACCAACCAAGCAGTTGAACGCTCTATACCATTCTTCGTGGAACTTGAATTCTGGTGTGCTGAATGCCGATGGTTCATGCGTCCTCAGGAGACTCTTTTGGGAGAAATGACGTAGAACCGCTTCGCATAGAGCAGTTATCGACGGAAATTCAGACGATGGGAAGGGCTTGGGGTTGCGCGATTGCAAAAAGTACTCGATATACCTGCACATTAGTACTCGCAATAACACAGAACATGGGTGAAACCTACTTCTCATATAATCTTATGGGAAGGAAGCAGACAGTCTCGCTGCCATCCATGTCTATAGCCTCTGTGCATTACCAGCCTATTACTATAACAATCCTTGCACCCCTGATCTGATCATATCTCTCTTGTCAGCCCCCCCCCCCCAGCATTCAAATAAACCTAGGCCAAACTCACTTATAATCCCAAGCACCTCATCCTGACTCCCCTCTCCCCCAAGCACAGCTGCAAAATTAAACATCCCGTCTTCACGTCCATACCGCAACACATGATCACACCCCCCCAACCAAACCAAGCATCTCTTTCTCATACATTGCGTCCACCCCGATTTCTCGTCTCGATCCCACACTTTCTACTCTCTGCAAGGCCTCGTGCGAATCGTACTGCCATTCTGATAACCGGGCTTGGTTTAGGGTGAGTCCTATGATCGTGCTGAGGCGGAGTTTTGCGCGGACGCTGCCTAGGGATAGGGAGCGTGTTATTGGGTTGTGGGATTTTAGGATGCGTTCTGGGCTGTTAGTTTTTGATACAGTGTAGTATAGGGTATAGGTTGAGGTGGTACCGATGTCATCTGATTGGAAGACTATTTCTTCTTTGTCTAGGAGCCAGAAGGGGGTGTTGGGATTGGCTGGGCTGATGTTGAAGATGGTGAGTAGTTGTTGGATGTCGATGTCTGTTGTTGAGAAGGTGTGTTGGCGTCTGCGTCTGGGCAGTAGTTCTGGTAGCCGTGAGTCGGACATTTGGGAATCGATGGCCATTTTTTTTTTTTTCATGCCGGATACAGAGATTGTATGGGATTGCACGTGTATGAGGTTTATGGATGTTCATGTGAAAGTTGTGATAGCTGCCCGAGAGAGAATGAGTACTAGGTCATAACATGTAATCTCTTGGATTTCTAGATGCTATGTACATATCAACCAACGCCATTCATCCCATGTGAAAAGAAAAACGCTTCCTGAGCGAGTAGAATACAATAACGAGTGAGCGATCAACGCTCAAAAATAGCTTTCATGTCAGCACACGCATCGGAATACAAGATGTCAACCTTGTCCTGGTCGCGGAAGGGGTTAGGCGACTTGTCCCAAGCATGGATGGCTTTCTCGATCATCATGGCTCGCACGCGTTTACCTAGATCCTGTAACCGCCTGACAAACAACTGGCCCTCATTCAGTAACATGTCCCATTCACAGATGTACAGGTAGATATCGTGCGGAAGGGCATCGGCAAGAATTTCGTCGGGTGCACGGATGGGCGACGCATAGGGCGACTTCCGTTCCTCGAAATCTGGCAGATACGCCTCATCGAAGAGGTTGGTGAAGAACCTCGGGAGGGTCTTGTTCGGAAAGGCGCTGCGAGCGCGGCGGTGATCTCGTGACTCTTCGAAATCCAGAATGGGATACCAGCAGAACAACCCGACAATATGCAAGTCATTAGACATATCCACGAGTTTCTGTGTCGAATCCGCCCGGCTCAGATTGCTGGTGCTGGCCGTCGAGGCTGGATACGGATATACCTCCCGCACCATGCGGTCGCGGAGTCGCAGTGGAACCGTCACGGCCAGATTGCCACCGGCCGAGAAGCCGCTCAGCACGATCCGGCTGACATCCAAACCCAGTTCGCCTGCATGTCGCGCGAGATACTGTAGGGCATCCACGCCGTCATCCACTGCAACAGGAAAAGGGTGTTCGGGGGCTCGACGATAAGCCACGCTCACCACGACTGCTCCGACCTCATGAATGACGCAGCGAGCCCAGCGACCGTCGTCGGTAGCACAGCCCAGGGTAAAACCTCCGCCATGGAAATTCACCACCACAGGTAAACGACGGCCTTCTTTGCGAGTGCGGTAATATCCAGGAGGACAGTAGAAGTGGAGAAGGGCGCCAGAGCCGTAGGTCGAGTCGTCGTCGCCGGAGGGAATTGAGCGGGTAAAGGACGGACTGGGAGGACGAGGAGACGCGATATCATGGATAAACATGCCAATGCGCATTAGAAATCGCCAGAAGACGGCCTGGACGACGAGCCACCAACGAGAGGCCATTCTGAGTATACTTCGGTATCTTGTGAATACGAGTCGAAACAGGGAGGAGAGAAAAGAGGAGAGAGAGAAAGTCTCAACCGGAAAGCTGGAGATAGAGAGAGTCGGCAGGATACGGTAAGTATGCGCAGATAATACTAGTACTAGTAGTAAGGAGGAAGCTCAATAGTGCATTGTTTCGTCATTAGCATCTCGCATTCTGATATCACATTTTAATTCTTTGCATATCAAATAAAAATTCCCCGATCCAGGGCATTCAGGGTCGTTTCTTGATTACTGGCGCATTCGACCAATGACATCATCTCCCGTGACAACGGACTGGCTTCATTTTCCGGTCTTTCACTTTCCTTTTCTCACTTCTGTTTCTCACAGCTTTATTCAGATTATTCAGATTACCCCTATTGCCTCTTTAGATCATTCAGATATCCTTATATATATTCCTTGGGTTGTCTTTTGGGAACTATACTGAACCCATTTCCGTTCGTTTCCGGCAGCACATAACCTCCGCTGATCAAAAAGCTTACCTGCCCCCTCAATTTCGCATTCCCCTGCCTTACGGGTATATATACACTCACTTCCAGTGTTACCTTCTCTGATCATAAGGCTGACCCTGTGATTCTCTATCCTTGAACAGACACCATGTCAATCCGACGGGCTTTGTCCAAAATTAAACCGAGAACCAATCACCATGAGGATGAATCTACAAGCAGCGCCGCGAGGGTTGCCTCACCATCCCCGCGTCGCAGCTTTCTCGGTGGCCTCCTGCCAAACCGCGATTCCATTTCGTCCTCGGATGAAGGGTCCGATGACTCTGCGTCTGCAGGGACTATGAGTAAAAACCAACAGAAACGCATGGCTCGTCGTCAGCGTCGACAAGAGCGGGCGCGACAAAGTGAGGATCAGCGTTCGGAGGATTCGGAAAGACGACGCAGGGACGACATCGCTCTTGCAGCTCAGCAAGAAACCTCCGAAATGAAGGCACGGTATGGCGATTTACCGTTAATGCAGTCCCGCGATCGTCCGCGCGATCAGCGCACTAGGGTTGAGAATATCTCCAAAAGCATCGCGGGGCAGGAGGTTCTGTTCACGGCCCGTTTGCATATTGTTCGGCGCATGAGTGCAAAACTGGTCTTCCTCGTATTCCGCCAACAACTCTTCACTTTCCAGGGTGTACTACATGAGCAGCCGGGGTCCAAGTCACTGGCTATGGTCCACTGGGCTGAACACCTGCGCCTTGGTTCCATTGTCCGTGTTCGCGGCCACGTCCAGACCCCGGATGTTCCCGTGCTGGGTTGCACAATCCATGACGTCGAGCTGGCTATCGATGAGGTCCACGTGGTCGTGCGCCGGGATGATCCCGTTCCATTTAGCGTCTACGAGGCCGAGATCCGCACCACCGAAGAGGATCGTGTCGAGGGCCGTCGCAGTCGCATTCCGGATCGCACCCGTCTCGCCAACCGTGTACTCGACCTCCGGACACCTACTTCTCAATCTATCTTCCGCCTTCAGTCCACAGTGTGTAACCTGTTCAGATTCGCCTTGGACGAGGAGGGCTTTATAGAGATCCACACCCCCAAGCTACAGGGCTCTGCAACCGAATCCGGAGCCAGTGTCTTTGGGCTCAGCTACTTTGGTCGCGATGCTTTCCTCGCGCAGAGCCCGCAATTGGCCAAACAGTTGGCCATATCAGCCGATTTTGGCCGCGTCTACGAGATCGGTGCCGTTTTCCGTGCAGAGAACTCCAACACCCACCGCCACCTGACTGAGTACACCGGTCTGGATGTTGAGATGTCAATTGATGAGCATTACCACGAGATGCTTGAAGTTTTGGATAATGTCATCAAATCTATCCTGGAAGGCATTTATGGCCGTCACCGCCGCGAAGTCGAAACCGTGAAGCACCTCTTCCCCTCCGAGGATGTCGTTTGGCTCGACGAGACCCCCGTTATCCGTTTCGCGGATGGGATCAAAATGCTCAACGACTCTGGGTGGCGGGATGAAGAGGGAAACCCCTTGCCTGATGATGAAGACCTCCATACTCGCGACGAGATCCGACTGGGAGAGTTGGTCAAGGAGAAGCACGGCACCGACTACTATGTCCTCGACAAGTTCCCTGCCAGTGCGCGTCCGTTCTACACCATGCCTGACCCTGAAAACAGCCGATACACCAATTCGTTCGATATCTTCGTGCGCGGACAGGAAATCGTCACTGGTGGTCAGCGTATCCACGACGCCCACATGCTCGAGGAGAGTATGCGCCGCGCGGGCGTCAAACTAGATAGCATGGAGGAGTACATGGAAGGCTTCCGCTGGGGCGCCCCGCCGCACGCGGGAGCTGGTGTTGGTCTGGAGCGTCTGCTCATGCTCATTCTCAAACTGGGCAACATCCGTCTGGCGTCGCTCTTCCCGCGCGATCCTAGGAGCTTCCCGAGTAAGCCACCGGTTCTTGAGCTTCGACACCCCGAAGCGTCCACCATGGACCCTCCATGGCACCACGAAAAGAGGAGCCAGTTCGCCGAGAGTGATAGCGACCTGCAACCCCTGGCACATCTGATAGCCAACTATGGTGATGCCACCTCCACGTCGTGGGGTGACGAGCGGTACAAGATCTGGCGTGACATGGCCACTGGTGCAGCAGTCTCATACGTGCCCAGTGTCAACAACCACGTCGTGGTTCCGGGCAACCCGCTCTGCGACCCCAGCCAGTACAACCGCATCATCACCCAATTCCTCCATTGGTTGCACCGCGAGACCAAGTACAAGCCCATCTGGCTCCTGTGCTCTCCCGAAGTCGAAGCCATCCTGGGCGACAAGCTGGGCTGGCGCTCCATGAGCTGCATCGCAGAGGAACGAGTCGACCCGCACCGCAACCAGGCGGCCTCAGATGGCGAAATTGCCCGCAAGATCCGCCGCTCAGAGAACGAGGGCGTCAAGATCGTGAGCATAAACAAGGGCGAGATGGTCTCCGACGACGTCCGCCAGAAGATCGACCAGCGCATCAATGACTGGCTCTCCAACCGCAAGGGCACCCAGGTACACCTGTCGGACATCCAACCCTGGCGCGACCACGAACACCGCTGGTACTTCTACGCCACCGAAAAGTCCGGCCAGATCTGCGCGTTCGTCGCACTGGCCACCCTCTCGCCCGTCCACGGCATGCAGATCAAATACAGTTTCGACTTCCCCAACGCTCCCAACGGTGTCATCGAGCACCTCGTCACGCACGCAATCCAGACAGCCGCGCAGTCGGGTGTCAAATCACTCACCTTCGGCGCGGGCGCGACAGCTTCCCTCACACCGGGCCACAATATGTCCGGTGCAAAGGTCAAGTTCCTGCGCAACTCGTACGAAGGCGTGGCCAAGCAGTTTAACCTCGCCCGGAAGAGCGAGTTCCGGGCTAAGTTGGGCGCTGAGGATGACCCGTTGTGGTTGGCGTACCCACCGCATGGACTTGGGTCCAAGGGGATCCGGGCGATTCTCAACTTCTTTATGGATTAATTGGTAATATTTTGGTGTCTGGATATCTTGTCTTTGTTTGAATCTTGTGTATGAGGCATGAGCAATATGTGGATAATGATGTGCTATGCTTGATTTTTTTTTTTCTTTTCTTTTCTTTTCTTTTTTTTTTTTTTTTTTT